CTCCAATTGATTTCCTGGAATAAGGACAGGTCCCAAGGGGCACTGAATCTTCCTTGATGAAGGGTTCTGCCACTGTCTGAGGTGGAGGGGCTGGGGTCGAATGGGGTTCGAGGAGGAGAGGCAGCCTACCCAGCCCAGTGTCCGTGAACATCATGGGGCTTCTGGGGAACACATCCATGTGGCTACAGCCCCACCCAGCACTCTAGTGATGGACCCGGAGCCCTGTTTCTGCATTTTCCCTGGATGACCCAGGATTTCAGGGTCTACAACAATTCTACCCGTTAGAAATACAACACGGGCCAGGCACGGTGGCTCATGCCTATAATTGCAGCACTTTGGGGGATGGTGGATTACCTGAGGTCATGAGTTCAGGACCAGCCTGGCCAACATGGTGAAACCCCGTCTCTACTAAAAAATACTTTAAAAAAAAATTAACCCAGCATGGTGGTGGGCATCTATAATCCTAGCTGCTTGGGAGGCTGAGACAAGAACATTGCTTGAACCCGGGAGGCGGAGGTTACAGTGAGCCGAGATCACACCACTGCACTATTCTAGCCTGGGTGACAAGAGCAAAATTCCCTCTTAAAAAAAAAAAAAGAAAGAAAGAAATACAATATGAGCTGGACAAGGTGGCTCACGCCTATAATCCTATCACTCTGGGAGGCCAAGGCGGGTGGATCACTTGAGGCCAGGAGTTCAAGACCAGCCTGGCCAACATGGTGAAACCCCGTCTCTACTAAAAATACAAAAATTAGCCAGATGCAGTGACTCAAATGTGTAATCCCAGCACTTTAAGTGGCCAATGTGGGCAGATCACTTGAGGTCAGGAGCTTGACCAGCCTGGCCAACATGGAGAAACCCCCGTCTCTACTGAAAATACAAAAATTAGCCAGACACAGTGGCTCACACGTGTAATCCCAGCACCTTAAGCGGCCAAGGCAGGTAGATCACTTGAGGCCAGGAGTTTGAGACCAGCCTGGCCAACATCGTGAAACCCCGTCTCTACTAAAAATACAAAAATTAACCAGGCATGGTAGCACATGCCTGTGATCCCAGCTACTCAGGAGACTGAGGCAGGAGAATCGCTTGAACTCGGGAGACAGAAGCTGCAGTGAGCTGAGATCCTGCCATCGCACTCCAGCCTGGGCGACAGACTGAGACTTTGTCTCAAAAATAAAATAAAATAAAATATGATCCACATAAGCAATTGAAAACTCTTTGTTAAATACATTAACAAAGGAGTAAAATGAAAACGGTGAAATCAATTTTAATACATTTAATCACTATAAAAGTCTCCTTTTAACAGGTATATAAATGGATATTTACATAAATAAATGTATAAATGCATACTTTATGTATGTTTTTAAATTAATTAAATCTGTACAAATTTTGTTACAATATATTTGTATGCAAATATGTGTATTTAATAACTATATAAAATAGTCTCATTTTAACATGTATGTGTGTATATATACATATATATATATATATATATATTTTTTTTTTTTTTTTTTTTTTGAGACAGAGTTTCCCTGTTGTTACCCAGACTGGAGTGAAATGGCGTGATCTCGGCTCACCACAACCTCCACCTTCTGGGTTCAAGCAATTCTCCTGCCTCAGCCTCCCGAGTAGCTGCGATTACAGGCACGCGCCACTGTGCCCAGCTAATTTTTGTATTTTTAGTAGAGACGGGGTTTCACCATGTTGACCAGGATGGTCTCGATCTCTTGGCCTCGTGATCCACCCGCCTCGGCCTCCCAAAGTGCTGGGATTATAGGCGTGAGCCACTGCGCCCGGCCATGTATGTATATTTTTATATTTACTTAAATATATGAAAAGTTACAGTTTCAGTATTTTTAAGTTAATTAAATATGTACAAATTTTATTAAAATGTTTTCCTATAAATATATTTAATCACTATATCAAATAGTCTAATTTCAACATATATATTTATATTTACAGAAACAAATTTATAGCTTATGTATATTTTTCAATGTATTAAATTTGTAAAGAATTTTATTATATTTATGTATAAACATACTTGTTTTATCACTATATAAAAAGTCTAATTTCAGAATGTATATTTATATAAATATATAAATTTATATTTTATTTTTTTAATGTTAAATGTGTACACACTTTATTAGGATATATTTCTTCCTGGGCACGGTGGCTCACGCCTATAATCCCAGCACTTTGGGAGGCTGAGGTGAGTGGATCACCTGAGGTCAGGAGTTCGAGACCAGCCTGGCCAACATGAAGAAACCCATCTCTACTAAAAATACAAAAAGTTAGCCATAATGTCAGTTACCCAGGAGACTGAGGCAGGAGAAACACTACACTTAAATCCAGGAGACAGAGGTTGCAGGGAGCTGAGATCACACCACCTTTCTCCAGCCTGGGCAAGAAGAGTGAAACTCCATCTGAAAAAATATACCTATATTTCTATATAAACATATATTTATAAATGTCATAAATGAATATGCACATTTCATAAGCATATAAAATAGTTATATGCGTATACACATAATTTATTTCAAATTTATATTTTTGAGATATGTGTGTAAATATATTTAGAATTGTATATATAGGTATAGCTAGGATTATTTACAATTGTATATATTGTTATTTACAGTATATTAGAATTGTATATGTAGGTAGCTAGAATTATTTAGAATTGTATATATTATTTACAGTATATTAGAATTGTATATATGGTTATTTAGAATAGATTTTGGAATTGTACATATAGTTATTTAGAATAGATTTAGCATTGTACATATAAGAGATTTAGAACTGTATATATCTAGAATAGATTTAGAATTGTATATATCGTTAGAACTGTATGTGTAGTTATTTAGAATAGATTTATATTTGTATATATAATTATTTAGAATAGATTTAATGTGTATATATAGTTATTTAGAATAGATTTAGAATTGTATATATAGTTATTTAGAATATATTAGAATTGCACATATAGTTATGAGATAGTGTGCATTCTTTTTTCACACCACCTCTTCAAACCCAGTGTGCATTGTACACTTACAGCACATGTTGGTTCAGATGAACCGGCATCCTTTGGGTGTTTGTTCCCTCCAAATCTCCCATTAAAGTAGCATCCCCGGCATTGCAGGAGAGGCCTGGTGGGAGGCATTTTGGTCATGGGAATGGATTCCTCATGAGTGACTTGGTGCTGCCCTCGTGGTAATGAGTGAGTTCTCACAGTATTAGTTCATGCAAGAGCTGATGTTTCGTTTTGTTTCAGATGGAGTCTCGCTCAGTCACCCAGGCTGGAGTGCAGTGACACAATCTCAGCTCACCGCAACGGTTAAGCAATTCTCCGGCCTCAGCCTTCCGAGTAGCTGGGACCACAGGCACACACCACCATGCCCGGCTAATTTTTGTATTTTTAGTAAAGACAGCATTTCTCCATGTTGGCCAGGATGATCTCGATCTCTTGACCCCATGATCCACCCACATTGGCCTCCCAAAGTTCTGAGATTACAGATGTGAGCCGCCACGCCTGGTGGTAAGGAATCTTTACAAAGGAACTTTTCTACTTCCCACAGTCCTGTGGACTAAACAGGAAGCATGGTGTTGAGGAGGATGGGTCAGGTATTTTGCCAAGCTGTCCCTCTGTTGGGATTTGTCTGCAACTTTTCTCATGGTGAGACTAGGGTGGTTGGTTTTGGGCTGGATGACTGCAGAGATGAACAGTCATTCCCATTACATCATATCAAGATACAGACCGTCAGCCTGTGCGATGACTGTGGATGTTGGCCATGATCAGCACTGAGGCAGTGTTTGTCAGATATGAAGTCATTATTCTCCCTCATCGTGCTCTTTCAAAGGAAGTCTGTACATGCAACCCACAGTTAAAGAAATGGGGAGTTGTATTTCATCAAATATCTACATAAGGCCGGGCGCGGTGGCTCACGCCTGTAATCCCAGTACCTTGGGAGTCCAAGGCAGGTGAATCACGGCGTCAGGAGATCGAGACCATCCTAGCTAACCTGGTGAAACCCCATCCTTATTAAAAATATAAAAAATTAGCCGGGCATGGTGGTGGGTGCCTGTAATCCCTGCTACTCGGGAGGCTAAGCCAGGAGAATCAATTGAACCCAGGAAGCAGAGGTTGTAGTGAGCCAAGATCATGCCACTGTACTCCTGCCTGGGTGACAGAGCGACAGTCTGTCTCAAAAAAAAAAAGAAAAAAAAATCAACATAAATTATTTGGAACTATTCTGCAAGGTGGATTTGACTGTCCTCGTTCACTTACATATTTATTCAATGATTCATTGCTTTTGGTTACCATGTAATATTTTATTTTATTGCCTAGACTGTTTCAGCTTTGAGCACCAGAAGCTCCCTCAGGTTGGGACTCGTGTTTCTTTGACATACCCCCGTCTTGTTGTCTTGGAGATTTTTGTGTTTGAGCTAGATGTATGGGTATTCCAGAAAATGCAATTTCCTTAGTTTCTGGTACGAGAAGATGGTCTGGGCTTATCTGTAGCGTCCAGCTCCATGCTTAGAGTTCACCATTATTTCAGGGGGCCCTGGTTCTTTTTATGTGAGTGTGATATTAAGAACCCATGTGCTGGCTGAAATGACTTGTCAGTAGAATTGAAGGAGTGGACTGGCTGGGCTCAGGGACTCCTATCTGTCAGCACAGCACTTTGGGAGTTTGAGGTGGGAGGGTCACTGGAGCCCAGGAGTTCAACACGAGCCTCGGAAACTTAACAAGACAAAAAATCAAAATAATTATCTGCTTAGTGGCACATACCTGTAGCATTAACAACTCAGGAAGAAGAATTGCTTAAGCCCAGGTGTTCAAGATGGCAGGTATGGTCCCACCACTGTGCTCCAGCCTGGGTAACAGGGGCACACGCTGTCTCCAAGGAGAGCAGAGGATGGGGGAGGGGTGTAATCTTTCATCAGATCGCCATTCATTTTTTTTTCTTCCTCTTTTTTTTCCTCTTTTCTTTGTATCTACTTAGGTCCCCTAAGGCGCTGGAGAACGCTGGCGGCTGTGGAGTCATGTGTTTGCATGCATGACAGGTGCCAGCCAGGGAGCTGTGGGCACATCACCCTGGGAAGCCAGCACCCACAGGCCAGGACTGCAGCGTGCAGGGATGGATCTCTGAAGGTCACTGCTCCGCCCTGCTCTGAAGACTGTCCACCAGCATGTCAACGCAGCTTCCCTGCGGGGGTTGAAGGGTGGGAAGACTGTCAGTCAGGATTAAGGCCATCTCCCCCGCCCATCACTCCTTCTGCCAAGCCATCACCAGGCAGCCGGATGGGCAGTGTCACCTCCGGGGCCATGCTGGCATCTGTAACCTCCATCCACCCTCGAGGTCCCATCCAGCCAGCTCTGCCCACCTGCCTGGCCCAGTCTGTTGTGAAGTTTCACGCTCCTTCCTCTTGTGCAGAGTCGGAATTCACGGGGGTCGCCATGCCCACAGGTACCCCAGTGGAAGTGTTGACTCTTATTACTGGCTAGACCCATCCAGAGGACAAACCAGCTTCAGAGAATGCCATCGTTAAAGTAGGTGCCACTGGGGGGTTTCCGCACTTAACTCTCCGATGCTGTCCCCGCCATCAACCTGATACAGACTTCGTCCGCTGCGAGATCACTTCCTCTCAAGTGCAGACCAGATCCCCCAGGGAAGAGACTCCTCGTCCTCATTGTTGCCAAGTGACCCCGAATATTCCTCTCCTGCCTGTTGCAGAAAAGGAAAAGTCACGTTCTGGAAGAACAGCATTGCCCTACAAATACAAACGAGAGACTCTGCCTAGAACAAGAGTCCCGGAAATTTCCAGAAGCAAATCTCTCACTTGTGACCATCAGATTCCACCTGATGCCTAATGCACCTTCTCAAATCTCATCACGTGTGACAGCCGCAACGCCCGGTCCAGTGGCCACACAGGACTCTCCGCTGTGTTTCTTCTGCTTCCTTTAACGCACAAGAGTGAAGAGATGAGGACGAAGGCGGGCGGAACACTGGTCTCTCTGAATGCCCTGGACCGACAGCAGCCCTGGTCACCCACTCACCATCCTGTCCATATGCACCCTGGTGAGCATTTTCTAGAAGCTCCCATGGTTCCGTGTTTGTAGGTGTGATGTGTGCCACCTCCGAGGCTGTCGTAGCTTCCACCTCCTCTGTCTGCAGAAAGGCCACAAAGACAGAGCTGAGAAATTATGGCTATCCCAGAAAATAAAATATTTTTTGAAACCACACAGCACAGGTGTGGGTCTTTGTGTCACTGTGAAAACAGAACCCTGCATACCCTTGGTAGCATTTGGATGACAGACAGAGTATTCATGGGCCCTGCAGAGAAGTACGGGTGGAAATGCATTTATCACCTGAGCTTGGTACAGTCTGCTCTTGGTACATTTTTTTATTTTTTTGAGATGGAGTCTCACTCTGTCCCTCAGGCTGGAGTTCAGTGGCACGATCTCAGCTCACTGCAACCTCTGCAGCTGGGATGACAAGCTCCTACTATCATGCCTGGCTGATTTTTGTATTTTTAGTAGCGATGGGGTTTCCCCATGTTGGCCAGGCTGGTCCCAAACTCATGACCTCAGGTGATCCGCCCACCTCAATCTCCCAAAGTGCTGGGATCCCAAAGTGTGAGCTGGGTGGCCTCTGGCTGCATCTACAAAATGAGATGCCTCCCGTATGGTCTCCATAGGTGTGGGAAGGGATGCCTTCTATTAAAATAACCACTAAAAAGGCAGTGTCAGAGCTCCCATGATGATTTTAACACCCAAGCTCTTCTGAGGTTTTCCTAAAGGAGGTCTGCTTTCTCCATGTCTGAGAACACAGAACATATTCTCACCCTGTACACAGAGGAGCACCGCACTTCACACTCGCGGGTCTCAGCTTTCCCTGGGCAGGGTCTCAACGTGGGAGCCCGAGCACAAGGCAGAAAAACCTGCCATAAGATTCACACAAGCACCTCCACCTGCTCCAGAACAGGGTCAAAGGCTAAGAGAAAAAGTCTGAAAAACCATATTTTATAAGTACAATCTTAATTGCACTTGTGATTAAAAAAAACATGGTTTTGTTTTTGTTTTTGTTTTTGTTTTTTTGAGTCAGAGTCTCACTCTGTCACCCAGGCTGGAGTGCAGTGATGTGATCTCTGCTCACTGCAACCTCCACCCCCCGGGTTCAGGCAATTCTCTTGTCTCAGTCTTCAGAGTAGCTGGGACAACAGGTGTGCGCCACCACGCCCGTGTAATTTTGTATTTTTTTTTTTTTTTTCATTTTTTAGTAGAGATGGACTGGTCTCGAGCTCCTGACCTCAGGTAATCTGCCCACCTCGGCCTCCCAAAGTGCTGGGATTACAGGAGTGAGCAACCACATCTGGTCAACTCATGTCTTAATACACTTATTTTATTATTAACCCCAAGAAGGAAAATGTGGCAGACACATGGCTAAGGGTTACTTTTCATATCTACACGGCGAAAGACCAAGATAGCTGGGTGAGGTGCATACATTCCTCTGGAAAAGGGGCCTTTATACTCTTGGGGTGACGGGCGGCCTACAATAATTGTCTTTCATCTGAGAGAACATAGGAAGATTGTCAAGAAGTGTGTGGGACACCGGGTGCGGTGGCTCACACTTGTAATCCCAGCACTTTGGGAGGCCAAGGCTGGTGGATCACAAGGTCAAGAGATCGAGACCACCCTGGTCAACATGGTGAAACCCCATCGCAACTAAAAATACAAAAAATTAGCTGAGCGTGGTGGCGTGTGCCTGACTCGGGAGGCTGAGGCAGGAGAATTGCCTGAACCCAGGAGGAGGAGATTGCGGTGAGCTGAGATCACGCCATTGCACTCCAGCCTGGGTAACAACAGCAAAACTCCATCTCAAAAAAGAAAAGAAGTGTGTGGGACTCAGCACAGTGGCTTACGTGTATAATACCAACACTTTGGGAGGCCAAGGAGGGAGGATCCCTTGAGCCGAGGAAGACCATCCTGGGCAACACAGTGAGACCCCATCTCTACTAAAAATGTAAAACTTTAACCAGGCGTGGTGGTGTGCACCTGTAGTCCAGTCAACCCAAGAGGCTAAGGTGGGAGGATTACTTGAGCCTGGGAGGCCAAGGCTGCAGGGAGCTTTGCCCCCACCACCACAGTGCAGCTGGGGTCACACACCAACACCAAAAATAAAAAGAAGAAAAGAAAAGTGGCGGGCTTGGTGGTAGTGGGGGTTGCAAGCATTGGTGGGGAGAGCTCTAGAGGAACGCTGACGGGTTGAAGACAGTCCTAAGACACATGCAGACTCGGGGTGTGCACTGACTTTCAACACTGCCATGCAGACTACATCTCTCTCCTGCTTGTCTGCGGGTATAACAGAAGGCGAGAAGCCCCTCTTTTTATTATTATCATTGTACTTTAAGTTCTGGGGCACACGTGCGGAACACGCAGCTTTGTTACACAGGTACGCATGTGCCATGGTGGTTTGCTGCATCCATCACCCCGTCATCTACATTACGTATTTCTCCTAGTGCTCTCCCCTGTCCCCCTAGCCGAGAGACAGGCCCCGGTGTGTGATGTTCCCCTCCCTGTGTCCGTGTGTTCTCATTGTTCAACGCCCACTCATGAGTGAGAGCATGCGGTGTCTGGTTTTCTGTTCTTGTGTCAGTTTGCTAAGAATGCTGGTTTCCAGCTTCATCCATGTCCCTGCAAAGGACATGAACTCATTCTTTTTGATGGTTGCATAGTATTCCATGGTGTGTCTATGATTGATGGGCATTTGGCTTGGTTCCAAGTCTTTGCTATCCTGAACAGAGCCACAATAAACATATGTGTGCATGTGTCTTTATAAAAGAATGATTAGAAGCCCCTCTCAATAGAAGGGGTCAGAGCTCCTCCAGTATGAAAATGTGGACAAAGAGCATACGTAGTCTGGATCTAAAATTGGGTCGCTTTGACTTACAGCCCACTTTGGGCGTATAATTGATTGCTAACACAACCTGAGCCAATTCCTTAACCTTTGCCTCCTGAAGGTAACCAATCTGAAAAATGATGAGAACACCCCGTATAACGCCTACCACAACGCACTATTTCTACATGCATTTCACATAGAAATATGTGAATATGAACCAAGCATGGGGGCTGACTCTTGTAATCCCAGCACTTTGGGAGGCTGAGGCAGGCAGATCACTTGAGGTCAGGGGTTGGAGACCAGTCTGGCCAACATGGTGAAACCCTAAAAACACAAAAAAACAAACAAACAAACAAACCTGGACGTGGTGGCACAGGCCTGTAGTTCCAGCTACTTGGAAGGCTGAGGCAGAGGAATCACTTGAACTCAGGAGGCGGAGGTTGCAGTCAGCTGAGATCACGCCAGTGCACTCCAGCCTGGGCAACAAATTGAGTGAGACTCTGTCTTGATAATAATAATAATAAAATACATATTAATACATGCAGAACGTGTTTAAAAGTTTCTGCCACAGTACAAGCCCGGGATGCTTACAGCCATTACTGTTGCCATTATTCTGAATATTCACCAAAGAACAAAGTGGGAAAAAAATAGATGTGTGTGACCTTAAGTGCGAATCTTCTTGAATTAAGCGGGCAGGATTCTCTAAGTCACAGCTGCAACTCTATCCTTGAATGCTTCCTAAGAAGATGAGAATTTACACTCCTCTTTAAAAACTCCTATCTTTCTGAAAAGGGCCTTGAACCTTGTGTAAAACTCAAGGTATTTCTTTTTAATTAAGAAGGCTTCTTGAAGATTCAAGTTGTGTTTTTTGCAGCAGCTGTGAAGGATGGTGTGCATGTCAACTTGATCAGATTGAACCACGCAAAATATCGATGCTGGCTGTGTCTGTGAGGGGGTTGCCACAGGAGATGAACATTTGAGTCAGGGAGTTGGGAAAGCCAGAACCACCATCAGTCTGGGTGGGCACCATCTCATTAGCGGCCAGCTCAGCTAGAATATAAGCAGGTAGAAAATGTGCAGAGGGAGACTGGCCTCGCCTCTCAGCCTCCATCTTCCTCCCACGCTGGAGGCTCCCTGCTCTCTGACATCAGACTCCAGATTCTTCGGTTTTGGGATATGGGCTTGCTGTCCTTGCTCCTCAGCCTGCAGATGGACTATTATGGGACCTTGTGATTGTGTGAGTTCATACTTAATCAACTCCCCTTTGTGTATATATATATTTATAGAAAATATATATCTATAATATAATATTATAACTATTATTTATATAAAATATGTTTTATTTATATTTACATTTATTTATAATATTAAACAAAAATATAATATATAAATATAATTACACATAAATACATAAAATATATTTATATACATAAGAGTATAATACATAAAATATATAAATATAATTACACATAAATACATAAAATATATAATTATATATTATATATAATATATTTTCATATCTATTATTATAATATATATTATATAATATCATTTATTTATATTTATAATATTAAACATAAAAATATATTTATATATAAAATTTATAAATATATTTACACATAAATACATAAAATACATAACTATATGTATTATAATATATATTACATACAATATTTAATATATTATGTATATGTCATGTATATATTATTATAAATATACCTAATACGTAAATAAGTATATATAAATGTTTTTACATATAAATATATAATATATACATTACATAAATATATAAATATATTATATTTAAATCCCTCTGTAGAACCCTGACTGGTGCAGATGGGAAGACAGATGTATCTGAGATTGATCTACAAAACTCTGAATATGAATGGAAAACCTACGCAAAGTTGGGCATGGCTTATCTCTTCCGTGAGCAGCCCTGCTGAGACCCACTGGTTTTGGTGTCTCCAATCAGTATCCTTCCTGTAATTTTATGATATGACCACAGCAAAAAGAAACTGTGAAGGCATTTATTGTTCGCAGCTGTTTTATGCCCTGTTGGGAGTTTGGAGAAAAATGTTTACAATCAAGTACTCTTGGAGAATCCTTTATTTGTTTG